AGCGACTTATGCTGACAAAAATTGCCAATGTGTTAGACATAAATAAACTTGTAAGGATTTGCAGTGCGGTAACTATTTATATAACAAGTTATAGAACTCTAGAAAATACGCTAAAATTTAATCATAATTATGAGATCATATCAAATTAATAGCCTCAGTGAATAGGAACTGTTAATGACGATAACTTCCAAAATTATGAAAATTTTGTTCGGAAAATCACGCTAAGAGTGGAGAGTTAGAGAGGTTCTCAACATGTCTTATGGGTTATGGCGGTTTTTAAAGTTTTGGACATAAAATTATAACGTAACAATCTGAGTCGTTTAGGCATGTCCTGTCTGTCCGTCGGTCTGAACCATACTTCTTAGGTTTTGGTGGATATATGCTAAATTTTGGCAGCGTCTCTACTCACTACTTCTTGAACATTCTGTATCGACACATATATCGGCATAGGTACATAAAATTGAAACAATGAAAATAAAAAATCGATATAAACTCTGAATAAATTTAAGATTGTACACTATGGTTGATAGCTGAATATAAAAACTAGACCAATTTATTTGGATTTTTTTAGAGAACTACGAATGGTCATTTATCCAAGAAGCTCACCTCCAGAATTGTAAGAAAACGACTAAGCGTCGAACTGCGATCGAATTAAAGTCTTTGCATGGAAAATTTTTTCATTTCACAAAATCCTTCACGAAATTTGCATAGATTTTTCAAGACAATCTATAATCTGCAAACATATTGTTACATCGGACCATACAAACTAATCAGCTCCAAATGAAGATAAAGATTTTATAGATCTTATGCTAAAAATGCACTCTGATGCGTATTATATCTTGATGCAGATGAAGTGAATGTTTTTCTGGTTATAAATAATTATGACAAGTTATTGAGAAAAATATTGTTTAAAATAATACTTTTAAATGATATTAGCATAATAATGCTATACACCAAAAATAGTCCGAAATTGAGATCTGTTTAGAGAGAAGGAAATTCGAAACAAAGTAAAAAGAAAATTCTAAGAAAGGAGATGATTAGAACGTGGATCATATTTCTGACTCCTCTCGAAACTTTGGGCTAAATTTTTAAAGACTTGAGATCAAGCTAAGATTCAGATTATTATTTTTGTTGACTTTCAATATTAGATTTGTTATAAATTAATAATATAGTCAATTTTTGAGAGATGGCAAAGCAATCTATTATACTAAGCCGTAAGTAATATCATTTATCTATAAAATGTATAGCTTTAATCCTGTAAGCGAAAAGACGTGCAAACCAAAGAAACAAATGCGAGAAGTGATAATACAACACATTAAACTCAACTCTGTTTGGTGGTCATATTTTATGAGGATTTTATATTTTTATGGATATTTTCTATCCAGTACACTTATATTACACATTTATATTTACAATATATACATATTGCATTCTTCTTGCATATACTTTATTTGAAGGTTTATGAAGTCTACACATCGAAGTACTAAAGCAGTCTAACCTTTGCAAGAAGCAGCAGCTATTTGCAGTCGTCAGAAGATCATGCTAATATTGTTGTTGCAGGTACAGCGGCATCTAAAGATATGGCAACTATTATTATTTTTTTTTTATTGTTATTGTAGCAAGTAGATGCTGTGTTGCATTATGACTTTGCAATAAGCACCGTTGAATATTAAAACAAAAGCATACCAAAGAAATGCAAACGCAGGCGGGCGATCAGTAAGTTTTAGGTCGCAGGTGGTTTGAAGGTCCAGCAGGGGTGTGACATTAAGTGGGCGGTAAGTACGGTCAGTAGGCGTTTAACAACAACATTAATGATGCGTTTTTTTTTTGTTTTGTAAGATGAAGGGCTCATAAGCATGTAAGAGCATTATGATGTAGAGGTGTTTGTGTGTGTGCGTGTGTTCGTCCACGAAGGTGTTATTTCCATTATATTGTTTGCCATTGGCATTGCAGTATGCGCATGACTTGCATTTGAGGTAAGTGAGAAACTAGTGCAAGACAATACAGGAATGAGCGTTCTCCATGGAAAGCGTGTGAGTGGCAACACACGTTGTTGTTATTAATTGTTACGGTAATAAGAGCTATATGCATTAAAGGCGTTATCGAAATGACGAAGAGGTTAACGCGGATATTAGACAGTTAATAATAACTAGAAGGAGTTTTTGTTCAATTTTCTATTTTTGCCTTTTGTAAGAATTCTTATGCAAATGTTAGCTGGTTGAAAATTTTTTGAATTTAATACTTAGTATGTTTCAGTGAACGGCAGTATCTTTATGGTGAAATAAAATTATATATTTTTGTTACGTTTATTAAGTTATGGGGCATGCTCTCTTTCTTTCGGACAAAATTGACGGCAATTCAAAATTTTTCTTCGTATAGCAGACCAAATTTAGCTAAAGTTTTGAGATTGATTAAGTGTCATATATATATAATTTATATATATATCCAAAATACCAGAATGTGAAGGTAACTGAATCTGAATATCCTGCTTAGCAGTAATAAAACTGTATTTTTTAAACCTCAATAACATGACATTTAAGATCTTTGAACTTCCGATGTATTCATATAAGAAAAAAAATATATATATATATACATATAAATTGATCTAATATGTATTCTAATAAGTGACGGAAAAAGAATCATATTACTATTGTTTATATGAATATTTTCTGGCATTTGGAAAGCATAAAGTTTGTTTAGACAACAATGACCATTTGATTGCGTAGGACTGAAGTAGCGTAAGGACCTAAGGTGAAAAAAGGATGATTACTAATCTTGAATACGTCGTTGTGTATTCATTGTTTCGTGTAAATAGTTGCAATATTCAAGGTTATGATAACTCTTTGTCATACCGATATTTCTTGCCTTCTTGCTGAAGCGATTTTTATGCGATAACTGATGTTGCCTGATAGGAAATGTCTGATTTTCTAAATTAATTTTTCATCGACACATTATTCTAAAATGATTTTTGTCTGTCTGAAGCAAATTTCAACAATTGCTTTTCGGTATTCCTTGTCTCATCCAATTCTTGTGGCACCCATTTTCCACACTTTTGGAGAATACATTGTTGTTCTTAAACAATAAACTAGGTGTCTAATTTCTTGAAGATACCTCGTCAAATAAAAGTTTTCCTTCAAGCTTAGTCATCCCATCCTTTTTCCTTATTCTCATTTATCGTAGTAAAAAATATACTAAGAGGTCAACGTTTTCGTTACCTGTATAGGTTGGTGCGTTTCAGAAGGCGTTTTGGTGATACCTAATTCAGATGGCAAATTGCTTCGATAATGGTACTTGAACGTATGAAAAGCAATGAAAGCTATTTTTAGCAAATTATGTTTTCTTCAAAAGTACTCAACTTTACCATGCTACATACTAAACATGTTTATATAGCTGACGTTTAATCACTTATGCGCTAATTCCATAATTACTTGAAAATTCGAAATTTCAATATTCCAACTTGCCCCACAATTATCCTAAAAGCATGCAACATAATGGATGAAAATTATACTAAAACAACACAGAAACGAATCAGGGAGAAAAGTGATTTACCAAAATGCTTTAGCGTGTCTATGTCGTTGTGGTACGAACTTAAAATTGAAGAAACGGAAAATAAATATTACCAACAATTTCGCACACATTGTAGCATTTCAACACTGTCGTTATAGTAGCACTCGCTTGTCTGCTTGTTGCTTTTCTTTACTTAGCTGATGTTGTTATCTATGAGCATTCTAACTGAAAGCTTGTCGTGTGATTTTGCACTTGTGGCATGCGGTCATTTGTTTGTATATATTGTCTATTCTCTTGTGTATTAGGGTAGAACTCAATTAATTATTATGTGTTTATGAACAAAAATAATTTTTTTAATTCAACAGCACACATCTTCTCAAACTTCGAATAAATTCAAATTTTTAAATATTACATTATTTTATTTTGATCAAAATAATAATGAACGAAATAAGAAGAAATATGTGCATACAGAAGAGTTATAAACCACTGAAATTTTTCTATAAAATTACATTATAATAAAATTTTTTTATTTGCCAATAAAACAGCTGACCTAATGTTCGCATGCGCATATACATGCCTATACATATATGTATATGTATCTGCATATGTTTCAAACTTTTCTGCGCTACATTCAGTGGTTTAGCTTTTGATTAGCCCAAATGATTTATTATGTAGACAATTATGTCAAGGCGAAATGGATTTTCTTGTAATTATATTTTCGTTGACCAAATGAGCAAATAAACGTGGAAAATAGAAAAGTGGAATTGAGCAAAGATGAATTTTACGTTCGTGTGGCAGAAGGAATAAAATTTGATTTAGGTTAGATTGTTTTCAAATTTTGAAGCAAGATATTGCTAGAAAATATATGTTTGTGTTCTTTTATGTGCCGTGTTTCATAATTCAAATACATTCTGCAATTATATTGTACTGTTCATAGTAATGAAGAACCCTTGGTGTTCATTGTACAGTAAGACAAACTCACATATAATAGGGTATGCACGAGATGGGCCTCGATGGAATGGGAAAACGACTTTATTTTTCTTTCATGAACCTGCTACTTGGACGAGGCTTTTGTATTTATTATCCAAAATAGTTTGGAATAGCAAACTAATAGATGAGGGTTGATAAGTGTTAAGTAAAATATAATAAATAAAAGTAAGTATGAACCCATTGAAGAGGAAGTAATATGTATTAAAACAGGAAATGAAAATAATTACTGCGCACTAAGTTCGAGAAGTAGGTTGTTGAGTTTTGAGGGTAAAAATGTTATTTTTGATTTTCGTAGAGCTTATAGATACTATTATAATAGCAGAGTTGTACGTAATACAAAAAGCTTCAAGTTTGGTATTTGCCACTTCAACTACAAAACTTAAAATTTATATAATAATTATAAAGATATCATAATAGTATTAGGGTGGAACGAAAAAGTTTTTGAGTGCTTAGCCTGGGGGTTAAATCTTTAGATTTCGATTTGTGTTTTTTGCATTTTACAGACACATGCAAAGGAGCGTCGTGCCAGGTTCATTTTACTTTGCTTAATTGAGCCATCATTTGTTCGCGAATTACCTGACAATATTAGGAGCGCAAGAGACATATGGAATCATTTTGCTTTTCGTTTTCGAAGGCGAAGAAGTGCATCATGCTCACATACACCGTAAAATTACTTTCGCCTAATTAATATGCTCTAACTTTGCCATATACTTTTCGATATTGGCATATTGCTTATAACAAAAAAAATTTTAAAGTTCAAGTTACGTTATCATTTGAAATCCGTTAGTATTATTATTTTTATTTTTTTTTTTTTGATACATGATGAAACAAAGCGATAATGATGGGGAAGTCGTTGTTGTATAATTGTTGTTATTCCCAAACTAATATTCCTCTGCAATGATAAGGTAGGGTAGGTAGGTTGGTTCTTAATTTTCGTTTGTTTAAAAACTTTTATAGTTCATTATGTGACTACTCGTTCGAAAATTACAAATTGTATTTGTTGGAAAATTACTTATACTTGTAGACAGATTTCACTTCTTGGTATGAAATTTAGTAATGCGAATAAAGCAAAGTATTCTATCCTAATGCTATTGATACATCTATCCTCTATCCTCATGTATAGTTTAGTGTCAATCAAAGAGATTGCAAACTTATACAATATTAGGTTAATAGGCGCTAAAAAAAGATCTAAGGCGATATTATACTTAAACGACTTTAATACATTGACACGAAATTAATTAAAGTAACTTATATATTGATCAATATGTATGGTAAAAACTCAATGTTTTTATACCAATTTCAAAATAAGAGTATGTTGGGCTATGTTTTAGTAGGTTGTAAAAAATTTGCCCTAGTGGGCGGGATCACGCCCACTTTACAAGTGTTTTAAATTCATACCAGTTTNAAAAATAGTTTGGGAATTGCAAACTAATAGATGAGGGTTGATAAGTGTTAAAGTAAAATATAAATAAATAAAAGTAGTATGAAACCCATTGGAAGAGGAAGTGAATATGTATTAAAACAAGGAAATGAAAAATAATTTACTGGCGCTCTAAGTTCGAGAAGTAGGTTGGTTTAGTTTTTGAGGGTAAAAAATGTTTTATTTTGATTTTCGTAGAGCTTATAGATACTATTATAATAGCAGAGTTGTACGTAATACAAAAAGCTGCAAGTTTGGTATTGCCACTTCAACTACAAAACTTAAAATTTATATAATAATTATAAAGATATCATATATGTATTAGGGTGGAACGAAAAAAAAGTTTTTTTGAGTGCTTAGCCTGGGGGTAAAATCTTTAGATTATAAATAAAGAAAATTTCTGCAGAAAAATAATTTTTTTAATATCTAGAGGTATTTTTTGAAGAAAAAAATAATAATTTTTGGTTTAAACTCTTCACGTTTATATAAAATATACCGAATTTGACGGTTTTTGTCTCAAAATTTATTTTAACACTTAAGGAAAGCATGTGGTCATAAAATTTTTTTTTTAAAACTCCAATAATGACCACAAAAAATTTTTTAAGTTGATAAATTTTAATTGGACAGAAAGAGGACTCTCCACAGCTTTTAGAACAATTATCAAAAATTTTATACCAAAAAAAAATTTTAACTCGAAAATTTACTTTAAAACTACTTTTTTGACCAAAATTTTTTTTTATAATCTACAGTATTTACCCCCAGGCTAAGCAAAAAAAAATTTTTTTTCGCTCCATCCTAATATGTATTTAATTTGGTGTAAACTACTTTTTTATGTCCCAAACACACTGTGGTTTTTTTATTTTTAGTATAATATTTATTTATGAGTGTTATAAATTAATCCACAAATAAGCGAAACCATCAGTACAATATCGGAGAGCGTCGCATGGAACATTAAAATACCAGCTGAGCTATGGAAGTTGGCAAATAATAGCAAAATAGTCATAATTAGTTGATCTACCTAATTTTGAAATTTTTCAGCTAAGCTCGGATGTTAACATAAAAAAAAATATTTTTTTAATGCGATAAATGGAAATTATTAACTTCGTATGAGCTTTTGTTTTTTACACTTTTGAAATACCCGTAACAGCAAAATCTATATAAATAAATTTTTATCTTCTAACCAGATGGCAGCATCAAATAAAATTTGTACAAATAGCGGTATACCTTTGTTACTACTTCTTTTCCATATGAATTCAGTGTACCGTAAGCGCAGCTAACACGGGTCGTTGCGAATCCTTAATAAATACAAAAATTGGCAAAAAAAAAAACGTCGTAACAAAAAAATATTAGACATGGATATGCAATTTATAGAGAAATTGAATGCTCTAAATTATAAATATTGGAATATTATGACCCGCGCTTATCTCGAAAAGGAGGATCTGTGGGACACCATCGACAGAAAAGATCCAGCCTCCAATGTTTGTATATTAACCCCATTTCTGCTTTTGCTTTTCGTTTTGATGATTTTGTGTTTTTTGCATTTTACAGACACATGCAAAGGAGCGTCGTGCC